TCATCATCCAGTGAAGAACGTTAAGCGAAAGCAAACAAAAGCTATGATCAAAATCACCCTTAAACAACAAATTAATTAAGTTTAAGAACAAAAGGAGAGAGAGAACAGAACAGAATCCCCTCGGCCTCGACTTTGGAAAAATTTCCCCCAAATGGGTCGTGAAAATTCGCTTGCTTTTAGCTGAGTGAAAGCTTCAGCTAGCCACACCCAGCCGTTCTCAGTCAACCCATGATAGCTTAATTAATAAAACTGCAGCCTTCAGAATCAGACCCATATATTGTTCCTCCTTCTGCGTCATTTTCACTTTTACTTTCTTTTTTCTTTCTTTTTTTTTCCACCTTTGCAAGAGTTGAAAGAGACCACTCCATTCAGCGATTAAAGACGATAGAATTTGTATTCTACCGCTGCATTTTTGCAGGCTTACGGATTCACACTTTATTTAACTACTAATGAACATTAATTCAGTAATTTAACATCTTCTCTCTCTCTCACTCTCTAAAAGGGCTGTCTGTGAGTGAAGGGGCTAAAATACGCACGGGATAAGATTCTCAAACTACCTGTCTGATTAAAAATTAATTCATTTTATGTTGGAATAAATGAATATTACGTTGGATGTATGACAAAACCCACCCATGTTTTTATAATCAAGAAAATTAGAAATTACACATCCTTGTTTAACTTTAGACAAGTGATCATTAATTAATAAATGTTTAAAGCATGAGATCGATTTATTCTTTCCTTAGGACATTGTTCTAAATATATATCAAATTTTAATTTTTCTTTCTTATGTAATTCTCCGTTTCGCCCAATCATCTATTTCAATTAAATTATTATTTTATTAATATATTTAAACATGTCATTCAAATGTTACTTAAAACAATCAACAAAATATAATTCACTCGTGAAGGTGACATATTGTACATGTTGAATTATGTTAATAAAACAATAATTTAATCCTATATATGTTATTTATAACCACAATTTAACAAATTTTCTTGACTTAATTAAAAAAAATTGGTAGGGTAAAAATGAGAACATTTTAAATTTCATATTGAAATTTACTATGAATACGTTTAATTTCAATATAAAACTATATTTTGTTTTATACAACCTAGATATGCTAAAATTTAGTTATGTGGTTGGTCCATCAAAATCAACTATAAAAATGTAAAATAAATGTCAAATTGTAGACGCCACCTACAATATTAAATTGGGTGAGTTTATTTTTTATTATTTATTTTGAACGTAACATTAGAATTTAGTATACTTAAATATAGTTTAACTAGTTAAGATATAAATTTTTTTTATTAAGATGTCTGAAGTTCGAATCTTTCCGTCCTACTTTTTGTATAATAACCACTAACCAGATATAGATTATATAATGATATAGCTAGCCATGGTTTTCCAAGTGGGCTTAAGATAATATTTGACCTTATAGACTAAGCTTTTTATGTAAATAATTGAGATTATTTATTAATTATATCATGTTAGGTGTAATATTCTAGAAATTATTTAAGAGGTTTATTGTACTAAAAAAAACACAAAGGAAACAAAAATGTCTACTTTGCATGTGGTATTTGGTGTCAGGTCTGTATATGAAATTCCAAGAAATTTGTGTTGGAGAATAAATGGAACATGTACAATTAAACAATCTCATTAATTGCAATTTGGTCCACTTTCAACGGCTGTGAAAAAGNAAATCAGCTTTTGCGTGGACAAGTTTTGGGAAACCTACGGTTCAAATTTCACTAACTCGGTTCAAATAATATTTAAATCTGTTCATTTGAATTCAGGTTCAAAAAATAATAATAAATTAATAAATGAGGATGTATAAAACTATATATGAAAAAATATATATTACTTGCCTTTACTTTGTGTTAGCCATAAATCTTTCATGGTTAGTGTGGCCCTATTAATTATAATAATATTTTAATCTTTTACTTTTTATTTTTGAGTATTTTGGTTTTTATAGAGAAAGACAACGAAGAGCTAGAATAATAAAATACATAGCGAAGTCATTCAACCATCTAAAATCAAATGTCGCTTAATAACGTTCCCAATATTTTAAAATGTTATTAGACTTCTATCATTTATTTTTTTTATATAAATAGAAACTAAATGATGACGTAAATAACATAAAGTTCAAAAGTGTTCCAAAAGTAAAAATGAAAGAAATTTTGAAAATACATTTTAATCTGAACTTAAATCTTAAATGTTTTAATGTGAGGTTTTGATTAAGGCTTTTATTTATGTTAATATATATAATATTGTTGGAGAGATGGATGCCCMTCTACTTGTTAATAGTGTTATTTTCTATCGTCTTATTTCTTTCGTTAATATGGACTATTTCTAATTAAATTCTTAAGTTTTYCCAAAGATCTCATTATATTTAGATTGGGTTGGAAAATGATTATTTTTGAATTTTTGTTCTTCGCTGAGGAAGTATGGATATTTAACCACGATATTAATAGTCACATGATTATAATGATCATAACTGGCCTAGGCGTCAATGYTATGGTAYGTAGCATCCTAGGTTTGCAATACATGATATATTATGCAAGAGTGAGATATTACATTATTTGTTGTGTGTCGTCACATAAAGTTGATACACAACAAAAYAAGCATAGCCTCTATTCTAGCTAACCCCGATGATTGACGTGGACTTGCATGAAGCTCATCAAGAGAGTCATACTTCGTATCTTGTTCGATGTCTTTTGAACTCATCTTCTCTTGCTTTAGTGTCTCGATGCTTTAAGAGTTTGAGTATAACTTCTAATTGTGAGGCAGGCCTCTTGAGAGCTCAATTGAGTAGGAGCTTGGAGTTCAACTTAGATAATAGGTATAGCTAGCCCTACTTGAGCAACCGGACATGAGTGTTTCAAATTGATTTTAATAGACCTAGTCGTCCCTTGAATTATTCAAAAGAGATCGACTAATTTAATTAGGGTAACTTTAATCTGAAAATTTCCATTCATGTAATAACAACTGTGTTTAGTTTTTTTTTCATTTAAATTAAATTTTGCAAGTATATGAGATAGGAATTTGCCAAAACTGAATACATGACAAAAAGAAAAAGAAAAAAATTTTATAATAAAAATATAAAAACAAAAGAGAAGAGATTAGGTTTTGGTGTCTGAATGGTAGCTGCTCCATGTAGTTGGGGCATTTTTATTTTATTATACATGCAAAAAAATGTCTTCATATGGTAAGAATATATAATATGAAAAAAGTGGTAAAAAGTCTTGTAATATAAAATATATATTTGTGTTGAGAAAGTGGGGCCATACAATTTTGTTTACAAGTTACCTCAATTAGATCAATTATTGCTCCACTTTTTTGTTCATATTTTTTTTCCTTTTCCACTTCTCAAAGCTTTGAAACTCAATCTCTCAAGTTCTTAACTGCAACTACTCTCACAGTACATGCTGCTTTACAATTCTTTGCAACCAAATAGAAAAAAAAAAAGACACATCATGTTAATTTATTGGATTTAATAATTGAAACATTYCTGATCCCACCACTAATCTCATCATTTCTTCTCCAAATAATTAATGTTGAACTTCGATTTTTTAAAAAATAAATAAATAAACAAGATTAAAAGTTAATTTTCCAGTCTGGCTTGGGTTGGGTTTTATTTTTCAAACTCGTCTGCTTAATTTAGCTATTTTTGTTMATTTTTTGTTTTAATTCGAAGGAAACTGTTAATTTTGACCTTAACTTAGTAAGTTGGTATCAAAGATTAATTTCATCATGTCCATGACCTTGAACTTATATAAAATATTAGAATATTGATCACAAACTTTTTAAAAAATAGTGTCACATGCACTCAATAAATTATASAACATACATAAACTTAATCCGACGTTAAAGAAATAAAGTTGGATTTTTTTTCTTAATTTGTGATTTTTGATAAATYTACTGGATTGAGCTTAATTCTTAAATTTTGTCCAGATTTAGGGGAGTTTTTAGAGATTTTTACCTGAATCTAAATTTAGGATTCAATTTTATAAAATTAGAGGATGAGGCTAAAAATTAATATGGGAGTAAAATTTGATTTATTTATGTTAAAAATACTCTTGTTCCCTGTATTTTTATTGAAGTACGGATCTAGTCTCTAAACTTTAGCTTGCAATAAWTTAGCTTCCGTATTTTTAAATTAGTAATAATCTAGTATATAAACTTTCGTATGTAATAATTTAGCCTCTTTAGTATAAAATTTATAATAATTTAATCTTTATTGTACTTTTTTTTTTTGTTAAGTTTCTTACATATGTAGGTCGATTAATCGATTCGTTATGAATTACAAAAACTAAATTGTTATATGATAAAAATAGATCTTAATTTTAATTAGATTTTCTATCATAGATATTAGATTATTACAAATTTTATCATATAGAGATTAAATAGTTAGATACTAGATTTTAGATATTATAAATCTTATAGATGAAAAATGTTTTTTAACTATTTATTTATTATTTAATTATTTTGGAGGAGGGACAGAGGTGGGTCCCAGGACAGGTTGGTATTTGACAAAGCCTAGCCAATTGCAGAGTTAGCAAAACGACAAAAACAGAAGCCCAAAGAAGGAGCAGGCGCGTAGCAGGTCGACACGTCATCAACCATGGTGGGTCCCACACTCTTTTGTCTCTATTCATTTATAAAAACAAAGTCCGGGCCCCACCCACTTTACTTCGCGACGAATTTCCATTTGCCGTACGTTAATAAAAAATAACTACCCTTTTCCCTTTTTACCCCTACTCCAACTTCCATAATTACTTTCCTTGCCCCCTCATCTCCATCTTAATTCCTAATCCCTATTTTTTCTCCCAAAAAAAGTTAAATTATAAGTCGGATGTGAGTTATACTCGTTTTGACTAAGCCTTGTACTTTATATATATTCATTAGTCGTGAAATTTGATAAATTTTTACCATCGAAAATAACAAATATGATGAGATATATTGATCGTATTATTTAAGCATTATATAGTGATCCATTGATTTCATATCATTTTACTTATTTTAGTGGTGTAAACGTAAAATAACAAAGTTAACGATATGGACACACTAATAATTGAAAGTTTAAAGATTTCTTGAAAAAATTTTAAAATAAAAAACTAAATAGACATGAATCTATAAAAAATTCAACTTTTTTTTAGTACAATATGTAGGGATGAAGATCAACTCACAACCTCTTGATTGGAGATATATTTCAATTACCGCTAAGCTATACTCGCTTTGGCCTATAGAAATTCAACTTATAACTAAACGAAGTATATATATATATATATATATATATATATATATAGAAGTAAAATATAAGGTCTTGTACTAGCAGCCCTTTCATTAGCATAGTTAGCTTGTCAATAGCCTAGAAGTTTATATCAATATTGTATTAATTAGTTAAAACTATCTMAGAGAAATGGAATTGTAGTTTACTGTTCGAAAGAAGAGTATGAACATGAAGGGATCTTATGATAAAAGATTTTTAACGAAAGGAGCCGATCTCCTTTATGACATAATTAATTAAAGGGTTTTATTCTTTTCATGCATAATCATAAATCATAATCAATATTTCCTAAAATACTTATTTCTCAGGATGTTGCTGACTAGTTAAAAGTTCARATAATTAAGTTAAATGAAGAATTATGTTGGARAGAAGAATCAAATTTCTCTATTTTTCTTTTTTATAATAAATAAATATGACGTTGTCATCTAGATTGGTTTAAATACCACCAAACACAACAACAAAAAAACATCACTAAACAAATACATAAGAAGATGAGAAGAAGGGGACATAGGAATTTGGTGGTTGGTCTCCAAATTTTAGTGGTTAATGTGATTTTAGTTTAGTATTAGGTTGGCTAATGTTAATGTCTCCAAAGGAAAACATGACAAATATGTTTAGCTTATAACACTACCAATACAACACCATTATAATTTTTTTTTTTTTTTTGAGGAATATACTACACCATTATAATTAATTAACTTTGTGTCCAATGTTCCATATCTATAATCATCTATTTCTCCTCAAACTTATAGAATAATGTCAAATATATAATACAAATTCAACATCTCATGTATTGTTGTTAGTAGTTATGACCGGTGTATTAAATTTTTAATCAATATTATTTCTATATATATACGTGGGTTTAATATCAACGTAAGAGATGAATCGATATCTTATTATTATAAAAAAAAAAATCTATCAAATACTAAAAACTATTGGCACTAATATGGACATAATATTAATATTAAGAACTTTTAACTTATTTAAAGAAAGTAAAAAGTTTATTTGTTAATTTTAAATGTTTTATGAGTTTTTATTTTAACAAAATTTTCAAAATAGAAAGTTAGGATTTAGATGAAGTTAAAAGCATACAAATTAACTAATAATGCAATTTAAGGGAGGAGGCTATAGTTTATGAATTGCTATAGTACTTAAGATTAGGAAAAGTGGATTTTTTTTTTTTTTTTTACCTTCTTTCTTTTGTTGCCTTTTTAAAGTTGTTGATTAAGTGCTTCTGAAACCACTAAAAGTGGTACAAAGCAAAAGCATTTTAAGTGGGTGATTTGATTATTTGTTGAGGTATTATTTATTGGTATTATATTTGACTTGAATCATCCTAACCTGTCCACTTCAATCTAATTTTAGTGAATTTCCCTCCCATCAACAAATTACTTTCTACCTGTAAACTCACTCAAAAACACAATATTATAAACGAGTTATTGAGATGAATATAGATATGGTCGATAAAAAATTGACAGCTTTGAATAACAAGAAAAATATTATCTTTTTACATATTTAATGGTGGGTCAGCAAAAAAATAGTTACCAGCCAGTAATAGTTACCAGCCAGTAAGTACCTAAATTTTGTTCATTACAACTACATATTTACCTTACCTCATTAACTTGACAAGATCAACACTTCTTGGAGATAGAAAAATAACCTTTAATTGTGCAACAAACATAGAACAATGGTTTTTTTTTTCCCTTTCATTTCAATCTCTTAATTGCTTGCTTAAAAAGAAGAAGATCTAGGAATCAAACAAGATTGGCTTCAAATGACCATGTTGTGGCTTCAATCATGATTTCTTTTTCTCTCTCACTCTTCCAAAAAAAAGTATAATCCACATTATTATTTGCTTATTCCATGTGATCAACTAGCTTGGTGGGGCAATGGAGAGAGATAATAAGATTATATTCTTCTCACTTAAATTACTATTAATCATGGTTTCATGGTTGATGGTGTATTTGAGAGTGATTTTGACATATGACCAAAATCACTTTTGTCATTATCAAAATTATTTGGCAAATTAAAAAATTAATTTTAAGAAAGTCTAAAATGACTTTAGATCGATTTTTAAGGTATCACTTCGATGGTGATTTTAGAAAATTAAATATAGTTAAATCTTTTTTTTTCAAAATCACTAACCATACCATTCCTTCCCAACAAACCCGTAATATAGGTAACTTCAGCTGTCTCACAGCAAACAAGATTACGCTAATTACTCATAGAAAAAGAAAAACAAGACAAAAGAAATCTTTATAGAGCTCACTTTCATTTAAAAGCCTACATATTATTATGCCTAATGGTTATGCTCAGATACCCAAATTCAAATTCGGAAAAATTACTTTTTTCACTCTAAAAATATAAATGGGGGGAGATATGGTGACATTATTTAATTTTATTTGTGCCAATACCTTATAGATTCCCACATTTTACTTCAATATATGAGCTGTTTTCTACCATAATTTTAGCCCAAAACATCACATTCACAAATATTATAAACCCACTTTTTCTAGAAAGAATCTTTTTTCTTTTCCTTAAGGATGTGAATGAAAACTTAGAATGGTAGCAATATATGTTGATACAATACTAAAGGTGTAAAACGAGGTCAGGGTGACTCATTTTCAATRAATAGCCGCTTGATAAGTTTTTCAACTACTCTCTTTCTAATTGGATTTTTTTCTTGCTTCTCGAGAAAGAAAGAAGAGTAACTCTATTCGATTTAGATCTCACAATTCACTAGTGATTTTATTGGTTTCAATCCATTTTTATGGTTCAATTTTAAAAAATTATTTTGAAATCAGTTTTTAATGTTCTTAAATTGATATGCCAGCTCAGCCCAACAATGATTTTAGCCAAAAATAATGACCACCTGAACTATATTTAAATCTAACATCATCTATAAATTTCTCTCAAGGCTTGAATGGGAAAATTCCAACTGTGGTGGAGTCAAGCAATGGACCAAATGAGCACCAATTATGACCTATAAATTGTCATTATATGCTTATGATCCATTTAGATGGCAATTATGGATGTAATAAATATAATTCTCTGTTGTTTGAGTGGTTGAATAATGAATTTAGTAAGTACAACTCAGCTTCAGGTCAAAGCTTTTATGGGCACTGTTTTGGGTTTGGGATTACCCACTTTTTAGAAACAAAAATTTCAATGCAACATATTTAGACAATGAAACATTATAAAACTTATTGCTGATTAAGTTGTTCTACCTATCTATTGTTTGTATATGATGTCTGAATTTTTTTAAAAAATAAAGTTTCAATTTTTAATATACAAAACATGTTTGAATGTGCATAGATGATGTAGATGTCACTATTATTATAATGGTCATTTGCATCTCTTTTGCAAAGATCATGATCTACAATTTTTGTCCTCAAGTATATGGTCTCAGTCTTACAAGGCCTCACAAGTTGGAACCTTCTTATTGATGTGATTTCCTGCCTTACAATTTGTCCAACAAGTCTTTTTACATCAAAGCCATATCTCATATGTGAATGTACAGTTTCTAGGAGCTTATTTGAGAGAGTGTTTTCAAAAGGACCCAGAAGAACAATATTGTTTACCAATGTCTATTTAAAACTACTTTTCACATACATACACGTGCTTTGGAAGTACGACTTCAATAGGTCCTAAAATCAAGTGACTGGTAAAAATTAAAAAAAAAAAAAAAAAAAAAAGAAGCAGATAGAAGAAGATGGAGTGAGAGCATCTTGAACAAACAATGACCATAAGACATGTTTTTCTGAACAATTTGAATGGTCCAAGGAAGAACTGAGCTCAGCTTTCTGAATGCAGCCTTTATGTCAAACAATCAAGAACTAATTTAAGCCCCACTCACTCCATATACCATCTTCAAATCATAGAGGTCTACTGCTCAATTGATTGCTGCATATTGGAGGTGGGTTCCATGAGAGAGCACTCCTGAAAAGGATGAGAGTTACAGCAGATGGTTGGACCTACTTGCAACTAAAGCAAGATCTGTCCATTCAAAGTTGTGTCTAATCTCTTTAACAAGACTACTTTTGTTTCTCTTTTCTGGCAGCATTACCCTACAATCTCAGTGCACACTGCAGCAGAAACCAGGAAGTTGTAACCACAACTTGCAGGAGTTTAGATAGTTTCCTGGTGCAATTTTGACAGAAATAGTGTGCTTGTCTAACATAAATAATACCCAAGACCAACAAGACCACTTTCTACCATAAGGGAAACACTTGATAACTTCAAATTACTTTATAGGTTAGATCACTGACGGTTTCTTAACGATGCTGTACAGAATATTAGGCAACATTTCAGACCCCCAGAACGGAAGCATAGCCAATTCCAGTTAATGTTACGGTGTCTAACTGTAAAGTATATTCTTCGAGGATTTTTCCTCAAAAGAGTGACCATCATTCAGCTGGTAGTTTGAGGCTGATGACTATTAGGAGACATGGTACGACACAGAATGACATTTGGAAATATGTAAGGATTTAGGACTGATCAGCCCCGCCACTGCTCTGCGTGCGGAAACTTTCCTGCAGCTTGATCTTCTCTAGCAAATACTGTTTCTCTGCTTCAGCCTCCTTTAACCGCTGTTTCAGGTAACTGCTAGCGAAGTCTTCTTCGGATTTTTCAGATTTGGCAAGAGCAATAATCTGGAGCCTTTCGGCCTCTCGTTTTGCCTCATTCGCCTTAAGTTGGAACATATCAGCTTCTGCAAGTTTAAGTCTCACAATTTTCTCCAGCTCTTCAATCTGTAGCTTCTTTCTCTGTTTCTCCAGCTTTAGTTCTGCTGCTTCCCTGGTCTTGTCCTCGACCTCATGCTCAAATGCCTCGACGTCCATCCGTGCTTTCTTGTATCTCATCTTCTTCTCATCGGCCACTATTTCCATTTTTCTTATGGCCTCCTGTACCACATCAGCAATGCGGCTGCATGCCTCCTGCGGGGCTATCAGTCGTCCACCTTCCCCATTTTCCATGCTTCTTGGAGAGTCTAACTCAAGTTCTTCATAGAGAGAAAACAAGAAACAGAGGTATTTTATTGAACAAGATATGAACCAATTTACTTAGAATCAAATGAGAAAAATGATGGGGAAAAACGTGTAACTTGAGCCCTGGACAATGCAATTGAGTTTCTTTGTTATCAATTTCGTAGCATATGAGTAGTTTTTCTACAACCTTAGTTTGACTCTAACTTCTCAAATCATGATTGAACCATAATTCATCTGAAAAGGTATGCCCAATATAAGATAGCACAACCAAAAGACATGCCTATAAGAGTCCATTCCCATTAGGAAGTACATCTCTTTCCTATCTCGTGAACCTCAGCTCAGACAGAGAATTGTACAAAGCCACTATCTGTAAAATCTCACCATTGACCTCTATAATACCATCAAGTTAATAAAAAACCAAATCGTTGTTAGGATGCATTTTCTTTTCTTCTCTTTTTTTATTGAACAACCTTTTAAACTGTGTTCAGTTTGCTAAAAACTTGAAAAAAAAAAAAAAAAAGAGACGAAAACCATAATAACACCAGTAGCAAATAAGACTACTACTATGTCAACAAGGAATCAGCAAAAGGAAGTGGGCCACCTTCCAAGTATATGATAAAGAAATGATTACAAATATATACAGAAACGAAGAGTTCTATACCTTGGAAAAATGCTAGTATAGTTCTGCATGCCATTGAAGAGTCCACAACCCCACTTTTCATTTTTTCATTGAGATCTTCACACTTCCAGAAAAGCTTCCGCCCTCTGGGGTCCTCACTCCCACGAAATATTCTACTAACATAGTCGAGTTCCCTTGTCAAAGCCTCCAGATCCCAGGTAGGTGCACAGTGTTGGAAAACATCCTTAACCCAACCAAGCAGCTCCGACGTTCGGTTGCAGGCTTGGCACCTGAAAAGCATTTCAGTTTGCCCAGGTCCACTCTTAACAGAGGGACCCATGCAAATTTGCCCATTGCGAATGGCGCAATCCGTATGAGTCCAGTGAGAGCACAGATCACACCCAATCCAACGACAGGTATTGACTTCAAAATCAAACTTATTGCATATTACACACATGCAAAGATTGCAGAAACCATTTCTCTTGGAGCATAGTTCACATGTACAGTCATCAGCTGGAAGTTGGTTTTGGCAGGCTATATTCCTGCACCTCTTGTACACAAAGATCTCAATTAGAGTAGTCTGTGGGAGGGTGAAATTTGGGTGCAAGAATGCCTGAATTCCAGTATTTATTGCAACAAGGATCTCAAGTTGCACCCGATTCGCTATAAGTAGAGTCTTAGCTGTTAAATCAGTTCTATTCTGAACAAGCTTCTGCAAAATGAAAATCTCCTCCCTCTGCTGTGAACCACCATTACCATCAAGGATAACTCGAAGCCCAGTTTTCAATTCTTCAAGAAACTCATCTGAAAGACGATGCATCTTTTCGGAGATTACATCTACTCTCTCCCTTGCAATATCCCGGAGAGTTATCTTATCAGCACTAGAAAGGCGGTGAACGACTGAATGTTCAGCATTATCATTCTCTGTCTTCCCACCCTCCATCTTCCTTGCCAACATGGCTTCAACAGTAGGCCAAGTTTCCTGAGAACTGGCACTCTCTGTGGGGGACTCCCGAACTTGGCCAGAATTTGATCTAGGTTCCTCTTGAGTTAAGCGTGCTTCTGATGGCACTAGGGAAAATGAGGTTTGCAGCGTGCCCGACTGTGATTGCTGGCGTGGCAGCAGCATTTTTTATGAAACCTGTTTCTGGATGTAATAACCAGAGATTGAGCCCATAAATGAATTGCAATGCGACAAAAGAAATATCTATGTACTTCTAGTTAACGACTAAAACAATGCATGATGTCTGAAAAGTGGAGACCAGGGAACGAATCAAGCATGGAAGGTGGACCTCAAACAAAATCAAGAGAGTTTAAAGGGAAAAGGGGGCAAATTCCCCATCCACAGAAACCCAAAGGTAAAACAAAACAAGTACTAAGTTAGAGACAGACACAACTCCTTCAGAGATGCGATTTTGTTTCCAACAGTTATTCAGAAGAAGAAAGATTGGCCAATTAAGACATATGCCTGCAAGTTTGAAGGGTAAATATAAAATCTAGATATTATGCGATTAGGTGATACTTGAACAAGGGATAGCAGCTCAAAATATACTTTGGCTTTCCAAACATAAATTGTCGAAAAAAAACAAACATGCCATCTGCTCCCTGTCATGAATTATTCCACAAGGAAGCAAAAAAAATCTTGTCCAGAATTATTCAGCTTTAATCTCAAATCAACTTCCAACAGAAACAGAAACAATTTCTCCTCGAGCCAAAAGGAAACGGAAAAATCGAATCTAAGGAAGTAACATGACTTGGATCGCCCAAATCACGGGTTTATGAAAAGTTAACAGGGGCAAGGAGTCAGAGAGCAATAGCAAAGAACATACAAACATCAGCACCCAAACGCTTCTGACCAAGTAACCTATCTTCTAATTACTTTAGAAACTAACAAAAGACCTAGAATTCTGGAATTTTCGCTCTTAATAAACGAAGTACCTTGGCCAATCAATACGAGCAGAAGCACACGGGAGCTCAGAACTTGGGCTCTTATTCCACCGCCTTCAGCAGGCAAGAAAAGAAGACGACGAAATTCTTACAACATGAATAGAAAGAAGAAGAAGAAGAAACGAAGATCAGAGTTCATAAGGCGGTGACCATTGATCGATGAAAGAGAGCAGAAAAACACGCGATTCCAAATTATTGAATTCCCATTCTACCCTATGACAAAGTCCACGCTCCGACCAAAGTCAACGGGGACAAATCCCGTCCCAATTGGCTTTGGTTTGACTGCACTGCTCATGGTGGACGTTCAAAAACGCAAACGTGACGGCCCGTCACGAATTTCACGGCGTCAATTGTATGATAAAAAATAAAATTTTAAATAAATATTATTAAAAAATAGAAGTCGTAAGAAGGGTTATTTATATAAATATTTTAACCATGTTTTTATTATTATATTAATGTGAGGTTACAGCAAGTCGTTGACTTTGGATCAATTAAAGATTAGAACAAGTTGGCTTTAATGGTCGGCTTATAAATCCATATAGAAGTGTCAGACTTTATGACTCTTATCTAAAAACAAAAAATAAAAATTAAATCAATGTTATCCAGACAGAGCGTTCTGGACGGGCTTATTGAGTTATACGCTTTCTTTTTAAGGAAAAGAAAAGTTACCTAACAAATTAACAATTGCATCAAAATCAGATTTGGTCCACTGACCGACTTCAAATTTCTTTTGTCAAGAACAAAACAACGCAATGCATATTAATTTATTGGTATATTCCTGTTGCAAAAACGATATCTTATTGCAGCAGATAAAAGCACTTGCTTGTCAATTCAAAGGTTGCTGTTTCCCCACTCGACAATTGTTGAACTCAAAAAAATTTCTAATTGATGACTATAGTCTAAAAACTACGACGTCAGTCAAAAAGAAACAATAACAATAAAATAAACGAGACGGATCGATTTTGAAGGCAAAACTCTGGTGTGGCATGGAATAATGATTAGTCATCAATATCATCAATCCCAGAATACCATCCACTCTCCATCCTACTAACATTATAGACAACATTCCTCGTGCTTCTGTATTAACTCATAATACGTCCTACTATGTCCAGTGCTCACTTTTGGCTGCCAGCTTCCACTGGTTCGACTACCTCTGCTTCTAATGTCTGCGGTTGAGCCCCATGATCCTGAAACTCACCCGCCGCGGACCACTTGCCGGAAAGTGCCATGCCCATCATCTCATATATCTTACCACCAAGCTGGGCCGGATTTTCAGGCTGCATCGACAACAGAGAGTAAGGTGGTTCAGTTCTTGCTATTGTATTTGAAAGTGAAACAAATCAGGGCAGTTGCCTTATTGGAAGTTAAAAGTTCGGTAATGTCACTTTTGCGACAGCGCCAAAACYTTGCAGCCGATATCAGCTGAAGGACAGATTTGTTTCCAAAAACGCAATCATACAAGTTATCCTATATTGCAATACAATACTGATATAGAGAACACATGGGAGTTTACCGTAAATCCACTAGAAACTAAAGCTGCATCATACAGAAGATCAATAGCTCTCAAAGCATCTTCATCGTTGGGGTTACTCTTGTATGCAGCCTGTGGATATTTTTACATGATATGTCAATTAACAGAATTGGCAGAAGAAAGTACAGATTTACTTATTCTCTTACTTACATCCAGATTTTTTATAATTGGGTGCTCAGCGTTGATTTCAAACACCCTTCTACCTCTCATGTACTCCAAACTTGAGGTGTCACCAACAGTTTGTGACTTCATCAACCTTATAAAAGAAAATGAATCAGGCGCAACATGTTAAATAGTGTATATAACATTTAGTTCAACATGAGAGACACTAGCTCACCTCTCCATATTCGCAGACCAACCAAACTTCCCAGCGACAAGAACACATGGTGAAGAACTTAGCCGACTTGATATCTGAACGTTGGCAACTTTATCGCCCAAGCGTTTCTTAATCCAATCACAAGTTTGGGCAAACTCCTGTTTCATCTCCTTCTCTTTCTCTTCATTCTTATCACCTGACAACATATAATAATATAATCATTATTTCGCCTTTTTGCCTTTTCACAAAGTAAACCAATAGTGAAGGCAAGGTCCACGTGGTACATGCATATTTTTTTCACAATGAGTCATCCTATAATTCTGGAAACTAACTGAACCGAACCCTGAAATTGTTTTATCTGAAGTCCATGTATTCAATACAGTCAACTACTAGTGCGGATCCAAACAATTTTATAGAGGGAATCAGAAAGAAGTTGTGCTTGAATAAACGAAAAAACAAAAGGAGAATTTTTAAAATAAAAAAGATAGTCCTAATAAGAGTTTAAAGACATAAACTTGAGATAGTTCAAGTAACTAACCTAAATCCAGATCTTCCTTGCTAATGTCAACAAAGTTTTTCTCTTTGTATGATTTCAAGTTCTGGATGGCAACTTCATCAATTGGATCAACTAAATATAAGACCTGCGACAGCGAAAAATCAACAAACTGAATAAAAACATGGAATGGGAAAACGTAGTGAGCCATTAGCTGCAACTTGGAAATAGAAAAATGACATGAATGCTCGGAAAAAACTCAGAGAACAAAAATGAAGCAAAGTTGAGATCGTACTTCAAGGTCCTTCTGAAGAATTCTCTCAAGGAAAGGAGTATTCTTAGCACTAGTCACACTGTCAGCAGCAATATAATAGATATCCTTCTGATCTGGTTTCATGTTTTCGACATACTCGTCCAGACTAATCATCTCTTCTTCACTTTGAGAAGAGAAAAATCGAAGCAGCGGGGCAATACGTTTATGATTCTCACGGTCCTCGATGCAACCCAATTTCATATATTTTCCAAAATTATCCCAAAACTTCTCGTAATCCTGCCAAATAAAACAAACCAGACAATAAAGAACGTGACTTTATTTAATAAGAAAGCTGAAAATTGTAAGTATAGAAAGTAAAATCTTCCTAGTCAGCTGACTGCAGATGCAGTGAACAAAGACTGCCTTGCTCATATTAGAAAGCTAAGCATTTCATTTAGTGGTCTACTACCGATAACTTCATATCTTACATATTAACATTCATCATGCCTTGGTTTTAGTGAGAGCAGAGAAAGAGTTCATAGGAAAGTAGATGCAAAACAAAAAGGATTTGTCCTAGATGAAGAAAAACTTTATATGTGCTAAAAGTGTGGAAGGCACTAGATATCATTAATAATCTTCCCTCTGTCCTATGCTATAATTTCATTCAGTGGTGCATTCAAGTTCATTAAGATATCATTTTTATATTTGACAAAGACGGGATCAAAGAACCATATAAGAAATCGACAGCATACTTCTCTATTCTCACTCATGGATATTCCAAGAATCATGTCGAAGGCTTTCCTGACTAATCGCTTCCTCATGATTCGTACCTGTAAATAATACCATAATGAATTTCATTATATTACTCAGAAGATAAGATAGAAAGAAAAATATTTCAAGACGAATGAATACTTCAAAAACTTACTATGCGACTCTCTTGAAGGATTTCACGGGAGACATTAAGAGGAAGGTCATGTGAGTCCACCACACCTTTGACAAAGCTTAAATATCGAGGAAACTAAAAGGCCAAAATCAATTTAAATCATTAGGCATTATTACCAGTGAAAACTATCATTTAAAGCATAAGAAGAATTTTCATTTAGGTAAATATTTACCAATTCTCCATCAAAATCATCTGAAATAAACACCCTTTTCACGTAAAGCCTAATATTTTTAGTCTTGGGATTGACAAGGTCATCCTTCCCCATGGGAGAAACAGCTGGAACATAAAGTATTGACCTGAATTCTACTTCACCCTGCATATTCAGTCGACATGAAAATGAAATAGGGACTAGAAAGCATTTACAGAAAATAATCACAATTTTCTTTATTAACAACATTTCATGCGCATGAAGCACTCCTAGTACTTCCAAATTACAGTTTTCAAAAATGTGAACTCACCTACTAGCACTACATACAAAATTAACCATGTTCACAGTTACCAAGGGAAAAGTTAAATGAACTTGGCCATCCCTCGTTAGCACTCCATGCTACAGCAGGAAAATCAGACTTATATAGTGATAGAGATAGTATTCACTGAATGTATTCTTCCCAGTGACCGTAATCTAATAACCTCGACATGGAAATAGGTAAACAAATGCCACCAAGGAGTTCAAAAACTATTGCGGTTTAAATGGAGGATGAACTTTTTTTTTTGATAAATTAGTTAACGATTGTTTAACCTTTCCATCATCTAAGAAACACATTTTGTTGATTCATTTTAAATAGAAGAAATCAATTGACTGGATGTTAATCCTCTTTCTCACAGGATTTCAAGAAAACAAAGAGGTATTAGATATGCACGATTGTTCGTTAGGTATACCTCTGTTGTAAAATGAGATGATGCCAGTGGATCTAAGTATTCATTGAAAGTTTTTTTGTAGAACTCATTGTATTCCTCCGTGGAGACTTCCTTCGGGTTACGAAGCTGCATATACATATAGGTGTAGCACCCCTTCTTTGGTTAGAAGTGACAACAATTTAACAACAAAACTGGAAAACTAAAGGGGTTGTGAGCTAACCCATATTGGTTGAGTCTCATTAGTGAGTTCCCAGTCCCAGTACTTCTCCACAACAGTCTTTGTTTTCTTCTTCTTCTGCATAGCAAAATCATTTATTAGATTTCAATTCATAGATTCCACCGTGTAAATTTCCATGCCATAGTTTCTGTATAAAATGTTGGAGAAGTGAGGATGGAAGAAGAAGAAGATTACCTCAGTTTTTCCATCTTGTTCATCCTTATTAGCTTCAGTTGGATCCTCGTCAACTTCTACCTAGAAGGTTGGAAGAAGAATACAATTCCCACGATGATTAAGTTAAACTTGACAAAGAGTCTAGAAATTAAGAGGGCACAAAAAATTTAATCATACCTCTTTAGTGAAACCCTTCTCCTGCCATGTGTATATTGGGAATGAAACAAACTGTGAATAGTTTTTCACAAGCCTTTGAATACGCTCCGGATGAGCAAAACCTTTGTCATCACGCTGAAAACGGCAACAAAATAAAGTGAAAAATTAGATCAGTGAGTGAAACAAAGAATATAATGAATATATCTAAACCGACCTTTAAATACAATGTAAGGCAAGTTCCTCTCGGAAGTTGTTTCTCAGGATCCGTTTCTTCCCTAATAGTATAGGAGCTAGCATTTGCCTCACTTTCCCACACATACTGCTTGTCAGATTTGGGGCTCTTTGTCGACACAACCACCTTCAAAAATTAAGAGATGTTTAACATTCCTATAACAACTAGTTTTACCATAAAATTATGTAACAATTCTAAGAAAGTGACCTACCCGATCAGCAACCAGGAATGCAGAATAAAATCCAACACCAAATTGACCTATTAAATTATTGTCCCCACCAGCATCTTTGCTGTCCTGTTAAATAAAACAAATTATATCTAAGCATAAAGCATGCTAAATAGCAATAACTGAGCCATCACTTTATAATGTTCTGACCTTCAGCGCTTTCAAGAACTTGGCAGTTCCACTCTGGGCAATAGTTCCAAGACAGTCAACAAGTTCTTGCCTATTCATACCTATGCCAGTATCACTGCATAGAGATAGAAAACAGGTTGCAGATGTTGCTAAGTTATCAGAGTAATATCAGTATAATAACTGTGGGGGAGAACATAATCCTTACGTTATACTTATAATCCCATTATCTTTATCAGATTGGATACGTATGTCAAACTCAACTGCATCCTTCAAAAGTTCAGGATCTGTAACACTCAGAAACCGCAGCTTATCCAGAGCATCACTAGCATTGCTGTGAAGGTTGAAGAGGCAGAAATCATTATTCGATTTAAGTATCTAAAGGTAAGTTTTCAGAAAAGCAACAAGCCAAATTTGGACTATGCAGATTCTCACTGTGCCCACACAATTATACACGCCAAAGAAATACAGTATCACAAAAATTGATAACATTTAACATAGAGGAACAAAGACTTAATCATAAAGCAAAATCAATGTCTAAGCATCAATGTTGTAAAAATGACTCCCATTTTGTCCCAGTCTATGGTTTACCCTAGTAACATCAACATGAAATAGGTGCCTAATTTCATTCACTTCCAATGTCCTAAAGTACTTGCAAAAATTGAGCCATTGAAGTTGTGATTGAAGGTAATAGACTGCCTAATTTGAGGATTTTTTTTTTTAATATATGTGCATGTACGGGTCAGTGCACACAACTCGACTTATCTCACATAACTTTCTAACTCTAATACATTTGGTTGCCAAGGTAACTCATAGGATATTAAATAATAGGTGGATGGCCACCATGATTTGAATCTTTTCCCTCTAAGTCCTTTAATATTTACGAATGAGAGTGACTCTAAGCCGTTTAATATTTACATTGGCCCTTATTGAGCATCAGATCAAGGTCGACTAATTTGAGGATGATAGATACAAGAAAAACAGTAAGGTGCCAATATAGCAAACTACTGCCAAGCTTTAAAATTTAGGGGCACGGGTACAGTATAGGAACCCACAGAACTGAACCGGGTGTACAAAATTTCCACTAAAAAAGATAGAGAAGATTAAAAAATGAAAAATAGAAAAGGAGTAACGTCCACTGTATTCATCCATTGGAAAGACACAAACTTACGCGCACCATAAGTCCATTAAATAATAACTAGGTTCTGACTAGAATCAATCGGGTCAATTACCAGCCTTACCCGCACAACTGAATGAATATTTCTGTGTAGAGCATCACTAAATGACTCCAATCCAAACTGAAAACATAAGAATCATAAAGCAATCACAAAATACCTAATAAGCTCACGAAGAAAAACCTCTTTGTTGCTGTACAAGCTGTTGACAATGAGGTCCATGAGACGACTCACCTGCCATGAAAAATAAAACCCCAAATATATAAGGTAATCGGTAAATATAAGCTGAAAGATTCAAATTCCAAATTAGTATTATAGTTTCTAACTCCAAGGAACATGCCTCTGCTTGATACTCGTACTTCTCTACTGGAGGAGTAGCTGACGCATCAGATGCTGTCGCAGTTGACTCAAATCGGTGGGTCAAGAAAAGAGCATGTTTCAAGTTCAATTGAGTGGAAGACTTCGCTGCATCCAAGTGTCCAACTCTTAACAATGAGTACCGTCTGACTTTACCATCACTCTCGCCCACCTGAAAGTTGTCGAGAACGTGTGATCATAATCCCATATTACATAAAATGACAATCAAGCAGAATAGCTCGGCACCAAAACAGAGAAGCAGTAGAATGAGAATTTTTCCATCTGCTAAATGTCTGATAGACCTATTTGCCGTGAACAGTGAGCATAAAAAGAATTTTATGCATCAAACATTAACAACCCAACAAAAAATATAACATATCAATAAATAGAACAATCACCAAGAAATATTAACCCATTTACTGATTAAAACGGGGCCGATCATAGATTCTTCATCAATATCAAAATATATCCATAGAACTAACGAAAACCAAAGAGCGAAACATTTCAACCAATCTCACATAAATAATCAACCATCGAAGACCACGGGAAAGGGGGGGAGGGGGAAATATTCCAATTAATGTCTCGTTTCAGAACACTCCCACACAGAAATGCTCGATCTTCCAATATTGAATAAAAATCAAGTCCGGAGCATCAAATCACAACTAAAAGGACACGGAATAAATGTTTCATGTTTGGAAGAATGGAAGCAGACCGAATTGGGAAGGATTGAGGCATGGGTGGCCGGAGCCACGGCGGCGGCAGCATTACGGTGGTGGCAGGCTCCACCGGTGCGGAGGATAGCAGAGACAGAGCGCCTGGAGAGCTTGTGCATAGTGTGGAAGCTCAACTGAAGTAGCAGAACGGATTAAGATGAAGAGAAAGCGTTGAGAGCACGGACACAGAGACTCGCACAACGGAAGATGGTAGTGGCAGGGCTTTAGTAGGGTTTTTGAGAGAAATTTGGTCGACACTGGAGAAGGTTCTGGAGGAGATGAGGGTACTTATGTATTTTCACAAAAATAATATGCTGATGTAATAATAGTAGTTCGTTCATCGCAGTTTTCTTTTTCCTCTGTTTTTTTCCCCTCTTAAATTAGTATGGTTGAGATTTTAGAACAGAATAGATCCTTGAAAATTCTCTAAAATTTCCTAAATTTTAAATATTTTTAATTATGTAAGGTGATGTTTTTTTTCTTAAGTTCATTCGATGCTCTAAATCATACTACCGACAAAGTATAGTGTTCTTTAGTAGGTATTTTATCTCCATAAAATAAATAAATAAATAAATAAAGAGACGTTCCTATCTAAAAAAAGACACAAATAAATAAAAAGACATTTTTTATTTACCATTTTAATTTAGCTATTAATATAATTTTCTTAAGATTTGAAATAAACTTTTGGGCTTAATAGCTATCAGAACAGGGCTAAAGTGTTGGCTAGGCCCATCAGAGTACTGTGGGCTTTTGAAGTGGTATTCTGTTTTGAAATTTCCAGAATTCTTTGGTTAAATTACCTTTATGCCCTCGATTCCTTTCCTAATTCCCAGTAATAACTTCTAAAAAGATAAAATACACCTGTTGAGCGGTGTTACACTTGACTTCATCATTTAGGTTCTTTGTTTGAAAACCAACACTAAAGTCAGGTATAATTATTAACTTACTGGTTATAATTTGAAAAATTCAATTCATTTTTTTAGTTAAATTTGTGTAGATTAGATTGGCCGTATAAATTTTGGACGCTACAACCACTCTAATTTTGACGACATTTTTTAAAGAAAAAATATCTCTTTTATCTTCTTTTCTATATTACTATCTCATATTTGGATAAAAAAAAAACATATTAGAAGTCAACAATTGGTAGTCTATGTTAGTATTATTCTTTAATGTATATAATTTGAAAAGTTTTAATTGGATCAAGATTGTCAAAATCTTTATCTTAATACATGATACATTTTCATTTTTGTTTAGTTCTAATGACATGTGGGGTCTCTTGTATAAAAAAAAATGAGACATATGGGCGGGTRTCCAAATCTCCAATCCTTTAGTAGATGATATACAGTTAACCAATAAAATTATATTCATATTGTCACACATTTTCAATTCATGTGACACTTGATTGATATTTTGTTTATTACATTCCTAAAGTTGGGTAAAAAGAGGATTTTATAGATCATTTATAAATTTTACAAAAAAGGAAAAAAGACAAAAACTAAGTTTAAATTTTCAAAACCATAAAGATTAAATTAAAACCTGTAAAATTTTTGAGTTGTAATAGAAGCTATTTCGAAGTATATGGACTAAATTGGTAATTTAAACGATAACATTTTTTTCTTGAATAAATATTTTATTTGTGTTTACTGAGGAATAGGTAACGACTGCCCACCCTCGTGACGTTCTTGAAAGCTCTGTACTTGGCCCACGAAGTCCACGACTTCGGAGCCAACCATGTCCACATTATAATTCCCTCCATTGAAAAAAAAAAATCACAATTTCATTTGCTTAGGCAAAACCCATTTTAATTTTAATTTAAAAGAAAACAAAGTCACGTGTATAAAATCGAAAATAGGAGCCACGAATGTCGAATCTTGATAATTTCCCAAAATACAGAGCGCGACAATTTTATTTACCCTTAAATCTGGGGTTCAATCTTTATGTAAAGTAAATTACGTTATAAACAAAAAGCCCAAGCCCATTGATTGATGAAATGTGGTCCATGATTTCCATTATTATTATTATTTATTATGATAATTAAAAACGTATGCGACGGTCGTGGACACGTGCTGCACATGCACCTTTCATCCTAGCCAATTCATCGGTGCCCGGTGGCGGTCCGGTTAAACGCCGGCACTGCCACCGGCGACTTCCGCTCCTCTTCCTCCACCGTCAAGATCTTCCCGCTCACCCGGAATTCTCATCCAACGGTCCCCATTCCCCGCTCCAACTGTGGCTGCTTTCAAGGGATCAAAAGAAAAGTAATTTATTTGCCACGTGTCGTGGACCCCACATGCACCTCTATCGCTGACACGCATCCATATATGATTTATTTCCTTATTTAAATATAATCTCCCCACGTAATCAATATTATTTCTTTTTGATCCACAGTCTCTTTCTTCTGATCCACAATCTGATAATTAATAAATAAATAACATTAAACATAAACCCAATCATTTCTTTATTATTATAGTCCAACAATTCATTTTCCTCAAATTTTAAAGAAAGAAAATGTTAGAAGCCAAATTGTCATTTCATATATATTATTATTGAGATTCGAATATTCTATATTAAACAATATTTCAGAATTTGAGTTGTCAAAACATTATTTTTCACACAGCACATCTACAGACGTTTCATAGAATGGAATCAAGTAATTAATTATTAGTTTATAATTTTTTTAAAAAAAGTTACTAATGGCATGAATGGGAAATTATTGAACATGATTTTATTAGGTTTGGTTTCTTTAAACTTGAGGTGACATGATGACAGTGAAATATGTTTTTTTTTTAAATAATTTAGTTAGACGAGGAAACAGTATTTGTCAATAATTATTTATGATCCATGGAGTGAAAAAAGAAAAAAGAAGTATTAAAGAAATAATAAAAAAGAAAAGAATAATAGTCAACGTGAGTGAGAGTAAGAAAAATGCGTGTGGTGCATGGGAGGGGAGAAGCGCGTGGCAATGGAGTTACAGAGACAGTAAGGCAAAGCATACAACTGAGAGGCGCATGGAATTGAAAGAGAGAGAGAGAAAGAGGAGAGAGAGAGGCATTGGGCATCATCAGATGATCAAAAACCCACTCTCTACGCTGTTTGAACTTCATCTCTCACCGATTTCGCTGTTCCTCCTCCCGTGCGGCGTTTCAGTTCTGAATCAAATGTAGAGAACTTTTGTGACCTAGTTTTTTACTGAAGAATAAGAAGAAGAAGAAGAAGCGGTGGAGGAAGAAGATTCAACTTCTCTCTGGTAATCTTCAATTTACTTTTGTATATATGTATATATTTTTTTTTGTTCTTCTTCCTCCATTTTGGATTTCTGGAGAGGGAATTTGGTCTCTGGAATCTGGTTTTTGTTTTTGAATTTGTGATGAAATTTTTGCTGCTGTTGGATTATTCTTTGCTTATTGAATTTAGGTAATTTTAGATTCGGGAGGACCTGACAGGGAGATGAACAAGGAACAGCGACCGGAACCTCTTGATTTCTTCATTTGGACTGTTGAGGTAGCTCCGAATTCTTTCTCACCTGATTCGCTGTTCTCTGATTTTGGATCTTTTGTGCAAAGATCTTGAACTAAATCCTTTATTGTCTGGATTCCAACTTGGAAAATCTAAACGGTTACGTATTCGGAGTATTGCTCTGGAAGTTTGAAATTGATGGCTGTTATAACTTTTCCATTTGTTGATTATTCAAGTATTTGATCTCATTCTTCTTCTGTTTTTTTTCCCATTCTCTTTTGTTTTTTGTTTTTTGTTTTGTGTGTGTGTGTGTGTGTGTGTGTGTGTGTGTGTGTGTGTGTGTTTTATTACTGATAAGGTGTGGTGACTGAATCAATGGGGTTGAGTTATTATGTAATTTACCCAAATGTGTTTGTTAAGAATACGATGTCAGTGATTTGTTAGCCACTGGAAATCTCTCGATATAATTGTAAATGATGAAATGGAAGAAATGAGTTTATTATCAGTGATTTATATAGGAGCTTGATTCTCAAATATTACTCCCCAAAATCCATAAATAAATGCAAAGATCTGTTTATTGCATTGTTTCGTGTTTCTTCCTTTTTGGCTTTTCCTTGTCATAATTTCACCCATGGTGTCTTTTATTTTTCTCTTTCTAGTTTTGAACTTAATAGTTAGCTTGAGCTCCCCTAAATTTGCTTCTCGGAAGAATGTTTTAATATAAGAAGTTGTATTTGATGGAACCAAAGAAATCATATCACAATGTGTAAATGTCTCTATGTTCTCCGTTACTTGCATGCTTTTGGATGTCAGGCATAGTTTTGATTTGTAAAGATATCACTTCAAAATGCACCCTGTCCTTTTAAGTTGGAGTGTTCATGTGAGTCACTGCTTAGCTTGATATTTTTGTGATATTTTGGAACTTTATCTTGGCTGATTGTTTGTGTTCAGATAGATACACTGAATAGTGTGCACGTACGGTTCTTATACTTGGTAGGAGATGTTTTTACATGGCAAGCCTGATAAGCTATTTTTTAACATCTGGGCTACACATCATATCTCATCTCTCTGGCTAAAAAGTTTAACATTAATTTAGTAAAACTTGCTTAATAATATGCCTCCTACATTCCAATACATTTTTTTTTATCAGGATGTTGGTTTGTGGTTGGAAGAGATAAATCTTGGAAGCTATCGTCAGATCTTTAAAGAAAATGGGGTCAATGGGGAGTATCTTGAAGGCATGTCCATGTTCACAACTGAGCAGATTCTAAGGTTTATTAGACGATGCCACATGAAATGGGGGGACTTCATCACACTATGCAAGGAACTCCGACGAATTAAAGGTCTGTGTGTGATGCAACCTTTCCCTCTCTTTTTGATTCATTGGAAAATAATTTTCAGGGTTGTCTTCTTGCTGCAATTGTCTATCCCTGAATTTTTCCGAAATACCTAAACAAAATTTGTAATTAATTAAATTTATCATGCTAAAAAAGATTAACTCACCATAGCCAAATTAAAAGCGTGCGCATTGGCATGTTTTAGAATGGAGTTAGAGTAAGCCTTTTTCGAGAACCTTCTTCTATGACTCCTGCCTTTTCCTTTTCTTCTATTTTAATTGTAGCACTTTTAGAGAAAACGATAAACTACTTTAAAGTTCCTTTGAGTATTTTTAGAATTCTCTAAATCACTTTTTAACATTGTTCACCATTTCAAAAGTCATACCAAACCTACCCTAACTATGTGTACGTTTGCAGTCAACATTAAGATCATGCTGTTTATTCTTTTAAGTTGTGGTACTTCCAGTGGCTTGCTTGAAAGGGGAGCAAAAGGTACGTCGGCCGTGGTGGGCACCATCGTGCCTCTCTATGGTGTTTCTCAAGGTGGCGAAGCGTAACAGACAATCTCGAGTTGTTTCCTTGAAGCTGGAGCCATAAAAGCGAGATCATCTTATTTGTTACGCCATCATGTATTTCCTTTTCTGCGTGGAGAATATAAAGGTAGGGAAGAAACATATTAGTTTATCCTTTTCTAAAAGAAATTTAATCAGTCAATATTACCCTTTTTTTCCTTCTTTGTTTAGAACTATGTTTATATATACAAGGTTTATGTGTTCAGTATGACAATCCGCTTGAGGAAAAACAATGAAGCAACCAAGATCTTGTTGCAAAATTATACAAGTTTTTGCTATATTTTGACTCTTAATTCCTCGAACACCTATTAGCTTTCAACACTCTGTTTCATGCTTTCACAATCAAAACTTCCTTCAATTCTCTCCCCCAATCCCTTTGATAGTTTAGGACAGTGACCACAGTCCTCTTTTTTGAGGCTTGTTAGTTATTAGGGGGATTTTTATAATGGTATAGGAGAATGGCAGATGCTTTAGCTTACATAGGACACTACTTATTGTTTGTACATTGAATTAATATGTGGAAAGGATACATTTAATATCTCTGGCACTTGCATCGGGGTGAGTCTGGACAGTCCCCATTTTCCACCCTTAGACAAACCCACATGGAAGACAAACCACATAATTTGATCATCTTCTTCCAAGAAAGGTAGGAGATAGAAACTTTCCATTAAAAGCCTGATCACAAGTGAATAAGACATCAAATTCAAGAACTCATCTTTCTCTTCCAACTCTTTTATTTCCCCTTGTGCCTCTGGTTTCAGGTGAACTTTAATTTCCTGCATGATCTGAAAGGTTGGTGATTCATTTGCTATGGAAGTTGCTATTATTATTAGATTCCGTTCCAATCATCACTTTTTCTGGTGATTGAACTCATTGAAAGGGCATCTATTCACAAATAATAGACAACCCACATGGTCAAGTTAGCTAATAGACAAGCCATGTAATAAAGAAAATTGGAGCAGGTGAAGAACCGACCAAATATGAACATGTGGCCCCTCTATTAGAGTCCATTCAAGTACTTCTCTTACCAAATCCCTCTCGAGTAGAAAGAGAATGAATGAGTAGTTACAAGAACAACCATCCCTCTAGTGTTTGTCATTGCTTCACTCTGAATGTTACATGTGAACGGTAAGATGTCGAATGGTGCGTCTCGTGTTTGATAACATTTTTATGGTACCTTGTCGGTTCATTTTGATTCGATTTTTGGCTACTTAAGTTGCTCAAACGGAGGATAAGATCGACGAGTGGATGCAATTCCATTCTGCATTGATCTTCAACAACGAGGCCTTTTTGCTATTACTATGGAGGCACGATTAGTTGACATTAACAAATCAAAATTCATACGAAATTTATTTGGTATTCATACAAAAGTGATTTGGGTTTTTCCATTTA